TCCTTTTTAATTTTTTTAGCATACTTCAATGATTCTTAATGCATGTACATTGATACAAGAAAATGCTACTCATCTTTATTGGTCTGAGTAATTCAATATTCATGAGTGCAGGGAATAGGCTTAGAAAGTGGAAGATGGCAGTTGAAACTTCCTTAACAGCATGCAGAAGAGGCATAATAACGGCTAAGAAAACCAAATTGCATGGGTTTGAAAATCTGCACTGAGCAGTCATTAAGCATTGTTTTTCAGTTGTGTGATTTCATTTCATTAAGTATTTGCATACTAATAGAGAGCTAAAGTTACAAGACTACTGCTGTGAGCATGGTTAGCCACTCCTTCCAGCCCTTGTGTTTACTTCTATAGTCATCCACATTGCTTTGGCAAAGCACAAGAAGAAGCTTTAATGATTTCAGCTGCAATAACCCAAATCAAGCTAGCAATCAATAATGAACTTTATTTGCTATAGAGATAATCTGTCTGTTATTTCATCCAATAAGGTAAGTTAAAACCAATTTTGGGCAAACAGAAGGCAGTCAGAGATTCTAATTTTATTGTTTAGCAATTGAATAAAATATGCTTTGTTACCTTTTTACTGACATGCTGGGTTTATTTCACATACCACTGTGTGTGAGCATTTGAAATGAATGTTTGCAAATGGGGGGGGGGGGAAGTACACTTATTTGCTTAATTTCTTTATTTGGGGAACTAGACTGTTTATTAGAAAAATCCAGTTCCTTTCATTAAAAACATGAATTAAAGACATTGACTAGTCAGTCCAGCCTGGTTAATAACCATTTGTGGACACTTCCAAAGCAACATAACTTTAGTTAAAGATTAGAACAGGTAATCTAGAGTGAATCCAGGTAAGATGTCGGCTGGTGGCAGGATGTTATCAGTATAGTCTGTTCTGTTTACAAAAGAATCTTATATGTGCCATTTAACCAGAAGAAAGAAACTATAGTCAGGCTTAGCTTTCATACCTGTAACAATCATTGTATTTCTAGGGCTGTTCTCCTTAAGTTTCAGTAAGTTGCCTGACTCAGAGGCCTTTGCTGAGTATTTTCTATTTATTTTCAAGTAATAATTGTGTTCTGCTTCACAGTACTTTTTGTATAGGAGCACTCTTGATTTTTAGACTTGTAAAGAAACAATTGTACATGATCTTGAAGATCATTTGCAGACTGAAATGTTTCCAGGATCTCTACTACTTCAATCGTGTGAATAATAATAGCTTTATTTTAATAAAAATAATGATGTTCATTGTTAGATCTGGGTTTAGCTCTTCCGCCTTTTTCATAAGAGTGAAAACAATCGTGTGAGTGATGTTCCTGCTTGATATTCTGATACTAAAAAAAAAAATGGTATTGCCAAGGTAATTGGATAACATGATTTTCTTAGAAGCAAAAAACAGCTTTAACTCAGTTATGTCCATCTAAATGCCATTAATCTTCTATGACATCAGATACTGTGCACATGCACTTGTGAGCAGTGCAGTTTGTGACCTGGCATAATATTGGCACTTAAAATAAAGTAAGAGCCAGCAGGAAAATTTGTGCCGACCTCCTGACTGAGAAAAACAAATGAGCTGGAGGTTCAAATAGACACAATTCCCAGCATTTTTCCAGATCAAAGGAAGGAAACATACCACAGAATGTTTGGTGTCGTATCTGTAGGAATAGAATGCATGAAGTAATATGACAAATTTTATTTTCAAAATTTGTAGTTTTGAGAGGGCTTCTTGGTTTCCTTTTTTTCCCATGATATGAAACACTACTGTGGCAGTAAATTGCATTGTCTGCTATGAGCTGATACAGCCATTCCTTTAGGCACTAAAGAAAGCACTCTGAAAATCAGGTCACTTCTTTTAGTCAGTATTGCTTGAGGTATTTTACTATAGGCACAGAAGTATTAATATATTGACATTAGTTTTTTCTGCCTGTACTTTCTAAACAACAGAATAGGTAAAATGAAAGGAAATGCTGAGCTTTAAGGGTTGTTTGTCCTACTCAAGTAATACACAGTCAGTGTATCTACTTCTTCTAAAGCATTTCTTTACCCTGCAAGTGCTCTCTACCATTTAGACAATGAATTACCATTTTCTTCTACTCCAGCTTCTGAAATTAGGGTTTCTGACTCTTGTGGAGATGAGATAAGGGGAATCAGACACAGATTTCTTGCCCTAATATTCTCTTAAATCATAGAATAATAGAAATTCTGAAACCTTAAAAAACAAACAAACAAAAAAAAAAAAAAAAAAAAAAAAAAAAAAAAAAAAAACACACACACACTCAGCCTTAAACATCTGCAAGAAAACTGGGCAGACTGTTAACTAAAATAGGGTTTTAATCATTCATTACATTCTTTTACTGCAGCTTTGTCTAGGCAGGCAAGATAGTTTGCACACACACTTGAACTTCCTTAATGTGTTAACTGAAATTAGAAGCATATCTGGGTTGATATTTTAGGCCATTCTCTAAATCCAGATGTTTTTCCTAATGATAGCCATCCTTTTCTCCTTAGCACATACAGGGTTTACCCTTAAACCCATAATATGGTAACAGAACTTGGGTTGCATTAGTATAATTTCCATTGCTTTAGCACATGCAGGTAACTTCCAGTACAGAAACCAGCCACTGGGTTTGTGACACTCCTTGAGACTGCTTTGCCTTTGGCCTTTATGTGAACAGATCATCCTTCCTTTTCTGCAACTAGAGTGTTTAAAAGGTGGAAGAGCTCCTAGAAAAGTAGCATTCTGATTTCCAGTGATTGCTCACTGAGTGAGGAGAGCTCAAACTGGAAACTTCCTCCCAGTCACATCATACAAACTGTGGGGCTGGAAGAAAGCATTCAGAGTTAATCACAGTACACAGTGCTTGTGTGTAAATAGGATGGAGTTTTTTGGTAAATTCATTGCAACCAGCTTTCAGAACTTTTCCAATTGTATCTAAATCATTTTGAGAAGCTTTGGGATAAAAGGTATTGTACTTATGTATGACATTGAATTTAACAATTTCAGAGTGATGGTGCTTACAGCACCACTCATCACTTGTATTACACCTATAAACTACAATATTAAATTTAACAGCATGTCTATTATTTAATAAAACTGCAAGTGTTCAGCTTGCCTGAATTATGGGTTCTGTATGAGGACTGTCTCCCCTCAGCCTCCTTTTCTCCAGGATAAACAAGCCCCATTCCCTCAGACACTCCTTGTAAGACTTGTTCTCCAGACTTCACTATCTTCTTTGCCCTTCTTCACGCACTCCAGCACCTCACTGTCCTTGTTGTACTGAGGGGCACAAAACTGAACACAGTATTTGAGATGATGCTGCCTCACCATCAGTAGCAGGAAAAGAAAAGTCAGTGAAGGAAGAAAGTGGGCAAGGTCTGGGGTTTGAAATCAGCAGAAAAAAAAGCAATAGCAGGGGTTATTAATAGCTTGGTTAATTAATTATAATTAGTAATAATCCCATGAATGCTTTTCTCCCTTGCATAGCACAGTGATTTTTGGATTGTAGTTTTTATAACAGTTTATATAGATTGATAAAATGCCATAAAAAAATATTACCTACGTTGAGAGTAACATCTGAAAGGCCTTACAGCCTCTGGACTTAAGCTTATGTTTGTAGTGGGAATCAAAAGCTAAGCTGTTAGCAAACAGTACAGTGTTTCAGTTTTGGTTGTCTAAACAAGCTGGCATGTAAATACTGTGCCTGCAGTTTGGGAAGCAATGGATGCACAAGACACTCGGCAGAACTTAAATTTCTTGTTAAAGAACAAACTTTCCATAGAAAAGTGATACTTGGTGTTTATCCTGATAGATAGTAGTATTCATGAGCTGCAGGACAAATTTTAGCACCTCAGATTTAAGACTCCTTTTTTAATATTACTTGTAAGAGCTTCAAAGCTTTGTAGCTATAACTTGCTTTGTAGAATTGATTCACTAAGAATAGTCAGAAAAGTAGCAAACTAAACATTCATAACTTCTTTTATTTAAATCTAACATAAAATATTTTAACTAAAAAGCCCTCTTCCAGCTTAACCTTTACTATAAAAATGGGTTTTCTGCAAAGCAACTTTGGGACAACCCCTTCAAGGATCCTCCTTCACTGCATGTTGTTTTCACTGTTACGGGGAAGAGAAGGGTGTCGGTTTACTACGATCACAAGTCCCAAGAGCAGAGGAAGTGAGAGAAGGAATGGGCAAGGGCGCTGTGCTCTTGAGCTGTCCTCTGCTAAGTCCCAAAATCTTATGAATGCACATTCCCAGTGTTTCAGATTTCCAGTGAACTTACTTCTGATGAAGAGAAATAGTGCACATCAATAAGAAAAAAAAGGGAGTAAAGAGTCATATGACTCAGACACTCAGACTAACATAATTCAAAAGGAGGATCCCTGCAAGTTGACAGGTGCCCAGTTGCTCTAAATATGCTATAGAAGCAACAAAAGTATAATTTCACAATTGCAACCCTACTTTTGTGATCATTAATACATAGCTCCACTAATTTGAAATGTATCTTGAACTAAAATGATCCTGGTGAGTGTACCTATGCACACTGTGTCTGAAGATTGTGATACAGAAATTCATCTTTTGTGCCTCTCCAACAGTGTTCAACATGTTGAGCTGAACCAAAAATACCGTGATCTGGTTTTTTAAATACTTCGAATTAAAACCACCAAAAAAACAAACCCAAAACAGATTTATCCAACCCAGTATTAGACGTAATAGGGCATGCTGACGTAACTAGTTAGCATGTTTGCTAGAAACTTCCCAAATAAGTAGTGGAGAATGCAAACAACTCCAGAGGTGCTTGTGACCATGTAGGAGAAGAAGTGGGCCTCCAATGCTAACAGCAACCCAGGGTCAAATGGGACTGAGGTGGATCTTTGGCTATGGGAGTTTTTGTTATGGCTGTGGTTTGGCGTAGCACAGTCAAATCTTGCTGTGCAGTTACATCAGGGAAGAGTGTGCTAAGAAAATAATTTTGTTCATCACTTAAGGTTCCTCAAGATGAATGGACTGGATTCACTCCACGAGGGAAAGATGACGAGATTCCCTGCCGACGGATGCGTAGTGGCAGTTACATCAAAGCCATGGGGGATGATGACAGTGGAGACTCAGACACAAGTCCAAAGCCATCTCCAAAGATTGCTGCAAGGAGAGAGAGCTATCTCAAGGCCACCCAACCATCCCTTACAGAGCTCACCACCCTCAAGTAAGCCCATGTTTTACTACATCATATAGAGTGCTCTGTTAAGACATTCAGTTTCTGTTCCTGTTTGTTTCTACTCTTTATGTCTAAGTACCAGCTAAGGAGAATATGTAAACAACTGTGTTTGGTCAAGCTTATTTTTGGTTGGGGTTTTTTTCTGAACAAGAGTTGCTTTGCAATGTATTTCTATGATATTCTGAAAAGGGACCCTACTATCTGTGCTTTGAACTCACAAGGTATTTCAACCTGTTAGTGTTAAGTGGGTATACAGGTATATATGATAGATCTCCTCTTTAAATACTTCACTGAATTATAGCTTTGGCCTGCAAAAGCTTTGCATAGTTGCATATTTATACATACTCAGTGTGTTAAATTAGCCCTAAGCTAGTCTTTGCAACTCATCAGAGAACATCTGACATTTAATTAAAAAGAGCAATGACTGCCTCAAAATAGACAAATCCATGGTTTCTACTTTTTACTTCGCTCAGAATTGCATTGTGCTTTGTGGAGAAAGATAACCAAAACCGAAATTATTTTAATTGTTTATGAAAGTTTTAGTCAAGAGTAATAACGAATTTATGGATTTTTTTGTGTTTTTATTTTGTCTGAGTCTTTAAAAAAATCACTCTAATTCTCATTAATATTGCACAAATGGATAGTTTTTGTATTAGTGTTTTATTTTAAATAATTCTAAAATTGAGAGATTCCCCTAAAGCAAGATAATAAATTATATCCATTAAAAAAAATTGTGTGGATTTAAATCAACAATTGCTTCTGTCTGTCTTCTGCAAAATTAATCACTATAATAATGAATCATATTTCACTGAACCAAAATAATCTAATTTTAGTATAACTTGCCTAAGGCTGTAGCTTTAAAATGGGGGAAAAGAAGAGCTGTATCTCCTCTAGTACCCGTCATTAATGACGAAAGACTCCTTCTGCATGTCTCTCATTAATTTCCTCTCCTTCCTTGTCCTCCTCTTCCCCATTTTTTTCCAAGAGGGAAAAAAATCAGGGAAATAGATTTTAGAGAAAAGCATTTGATCTTTGTTAAGAATGTCATGCTCTTGACATCAGTGATGAACAGACCAGTAGACAAAACCATGCTTATTTCTGCTCCTCATAGCAGCCTGCCTGAGTTTGTCTCAGGAGAAGCAGGGGTTGCTTCTGCCCTCTTTCCGTTAGCATTCAAAGGAGAAAGCAGTCTCATTTTCTGCAGGGATTTTCATAAGCTAGCTGGCACTTGCTCAAGGGATCCAGTGATTCCTCTCATCATCCAGAAGACTTTACCACATCCTTTCCTGAGCCAAAACTCCTCCTCTGAGATCAGCTATTGCAGCCTCTGCAAGGTGAACACAAACATTACATACCACCACAAATTCCACAAAGCCAGGCTTTGTGGCTTTGTGCATGGACACACTATCAGGCACAGATCTTACTGTTGTTGAGACCTCAGAAACATATGTTCCATAGTTCCAGAATATATATGTGAAGTACAAGGCATCACAGTTACTGTATTTGCTCTCAGGTCATTTCTGTTCTCTGTAGGTACGAGATTTGCAAAAGAATCTGGACTTAATTAAAAGTAGCAAGTCCTCCATGTCACTGTTCACCCACAGAAGGTGTTAGATCTGAGGAGCTAGGCAGCAGAAACTTTAGGACTTAGTTTTGAAGTAATTGTAATTCAGCAAAGTGCCTGTTGGAATAATTCATTTCATATATGTTTTTTAATCCCTTCCTATTAAAGAAGGCTTTTAGGAATGTGCTTCATTTTTAGCTGCTTTCTGTAAAATTCATGTAAATTTAGGAGCTATGCAAAAGTAGGATGTAAAGCACAGGGTAGAAAATGGTGAATGTTAGAAAAAAAAAAAGAAGAAGACAAAATATAAAATAACTTTTCTTTTTCAATGACTTTTTAGCATAAATTGGGATGAAGTAGAATTATTTCTATTAATCTATGCTGATACTTATAGAAATACCTCTTACCGAGAAACCTTTCCACTTCAGATACAAATTGTATAAAACATAATTATGTATTGCTTTTATTCCTTTCTGCTGAACATGATAATTTAAAGGCTTTTTTTTGTAAGAACTAGCCAGGTACTTGCTCTGGGAATTGAAGTATTCTGTTCAGCTAGGTCGTCTTTGCAGATTTCTTCATACTTTCTTAGTAGCGTGATTCAACCTTGTCCATGACATTGCTTGTTCATCCCATGGCTACCCTGATTACCCTGAGAGCTGTGATAGAGTTTTACTGGCATGTCAGCCAGAGACTAAATTAGGGCCCCTATCGCTCTGAATATAGGTCATCAAGCAATAGTGTAATATGTGATAACAAGTTCTTTCCCGGGCTTACTGTTGACTTGAGTTCAATTTGCACCCAAGCAAGAGCTTTATGGAAATGAGCCAAAAGCCACTCAAGTCAGCAGGCAGCATTTTACTGACACCAGTGGACTTTCTAGCTGACCTTGCAGGACATGTTTAACACCTTAAAGCTGAGTAGTATTTAACTCCTCTAATTATGTTTTTCCTGTCAGTGAAGAACAAGGCACCGTATGACTGCAGTGTCTCTGCAGTGGTAATTCTCAGGGATCTTCTGCACTTCCTGCTACTCTCTTTCTCTCTTTTCTCTATGCAGTCTCTAGTTGGCTTCACTTTCATCTTTGGCAGAGCAAACAACTGAAAAACACATTCCCTTTTGCTTTCACTGTTGTTTTTGAAGGGATTTTTCATTGTGTGGCTTTTCCTCTCTGAGCACTTTAAGTCTAATATTGGTCTCACAACCCACGCTGTTCCTCCCACCTACCCAGCTACCATCGCTCATGCGCCTACTCTTCTAAGAAGGGGTTTTCATTATTACCAATGTTTCTTTTTATACAAGGAATCAGTTTTGAACAGCACAACTGTGTCACATCTCCTTCGTAGAATACAAATTTATTTCCCTGGTTTTGCTGAGGGTTTTTTTTTCCTTGCTATTCCTTATAATCTCCCTCCTACAATATTACTCCGATGCCATGGTTTCCATGCGGTTACAACACATGTGTCAAATGCTGTGGTACCATTCTGAATAAAGCACAGCTTGCTGTGCTCTTGAAATGCACACCTCCACTGCTGTAATCTAATTATCCTACCAGGAAGTAAGCAGCTTTGTGTCTTTGCTGACAGTATCCTCTGGGTGTTTAATCTTTCACAGTCTCTATAAACTGATCCAGCTGGGGGGGGAATAATAATAATAATAATAATAATAATAATAATAATAATAATAATAATTTTTAAAAAAATAAAAAATAAAAATAAAAAAAACACATTCCTGCCCTTTCTGGAAAAGTGGCAAAAGTTTATCTTGCACTTGTAAGCAGATGGAAAATGGATTGGTGAGCTGACTTCTAAAGAAGATACAGGCAACAGATAACTGACATTTCTATTACAACTGAGCTTGATTCAGGACATTTTCCTTCACTATCTATATGTACCTTGGTTGTGTTTAGCTTGGTTTTCATTGGGAAAAAAAAGTATGGAATTACATTGTCTGTCCACATATCACCTCCCTGTAACTTTTGAATCCATTGGCCAACTTTAATGCTAGAGGGACTGAAGTCTGAAAGACACAAAGTTCCAGCAAACTCTATGAAGTTCTGTAGCTGGGTAAGGCAGAGAACAATCTGCAGCTGTCCCTTAGGATCTCTTGAAGGAGCATGGGCAAAGTAGCTGGTGGGTCAGGGCAAGGTATAACTTGAGGCAGCACTTTCCCAGCCTAAAAGATTAAGAATATGGAAGGGACTGGAAAACTCAATTGAGGACAAGATGTCTAAAAGGTGGACCCTGTTACCAGAGTTCTTGTACTTAATTCTGGCCCTTTCGCTTTCTCTAGTGCACACATACTCACTGCTTAAAATACAGGTTCAGATTCTGCTTCTTAACTCAATATTGCTGCTTTTCTAAAACTTTACTATAATTAGCAGTAATCCACTTATGGACATTTTACATTACTTTTGGGTTATACACAGTTGTAGAATTGTTACTTTGAATTCATATTTAGTCATTCAAATGTTTTTCTTAGACAAGTCGTACTCTCTAGTCACCAGTATATTGACAATTTCCATGATCTTCATACTTTGGAGATACATGTGTAGAACTCACATAAAAAAGAGAGAAGGAAGAGCAAAAATTATTTATTTTTCTTAACAAATCTTCATCTTCAAGGTATTTTAATGCACACATCATGTTTTTTCCAGTCATCTGTGACTTGGAGAAACACTGCTATAAACAACAAACACGTTTTTTAAATAAGCATAGTAGCAAATATGCTTATGAGCATATGTGCTTATGAGAATATGAGCATACAAGCAAAAAGCTTTTCCCCTTTTCAGCCAATGGCAAATAATTAATCTGTGGGATTTCCATCATAGTTGCATCTAGTCCTGTAATTTACTGCATAGATGAACGATACTTAGAATAAACCAACAAATTCCTATCTTTAAAGTTTATCAGAGACGTTCCAATATCTTAAAATATGTACATGTTATTTGTGTACACCCAGGCTTATGTTTTTTATGTGTTAATACAAACAGCATAAGTACTTTATACTTGTCTGTTTTGGGAATCCAAAGATAAAATTGGCCTCTTTTCTGCCATTTTTTCTTAATAACCTATAAAATCACAGTAAACTATCAAGCTCAACTAAGAGGCAAAATCTGGTAGCAAACTTAATAAAAGTGACAAAAACAAGAAGAAAGAGGTACAACTGATGTATACATCCTGAATTCCAACTTTTCATTACCTGAGAGCTGATCAGGTCAGTTCCTGGAGGATAAGCCTTCAAGCTAAGTTCAACCTATATTACAAATCAAATATTGAGAGAGTTGCAGGACCAGCTTTGGTAGGATGACTTGCAAAAAAAATCCAACCACTCATTCTTACATAGTACAGATGTTTCAGGTAGAAGATTCCCTGATCCTTGTAAAAGTCAAGGAAATTATTATCAAAATAATTTTATAATCTAC